ATATTGTATTATCTATTTTTTCTTTACTATCTTGTTCATATAAATTAATAAATTATATTATTAGAAATTTATTTGAATTATATTATGAAATATTTGTAATCGACTATTTTTCAAGATGCCATTTTTGGTCATTTTATATGTATATAAGCTAGTTTTTGTCAAATATAATTTGTTCATCAGCTCGCTTATCAGCTAACAGTTAACTAATCGGCTAGTTCGTCAAATATAGTCAAATTCTTTTGATAGATTTCAATTCCATCAAATCCATTCTATGAACCAATCACCATGAACCCTTCTTCGTCTTTTGATTGCTCTCCCGTCTCTAGCTCGTTTCTCCAATTTCTAGGGAGCTTTTCTTCATGTCTCGATGGTGAAACTGATGATGTAAATCTCACTCTAAATAAGCCGAAACAGTAATTTTATTCACGTCAAGAAAAATACATTGTCTAAATCTAAAATAAAAAATTAACTTAAAAATACATTACTATTAATATATTTAAACCTCATTTAAATTATATAATTGTTAAATGTATAGATCAATGCGTAATTAATTAATGTTACAATTATATAATTAAAATAAGAAAGAAGGTGAGATGAAGCTTAATTGTGACGTGTGGCAAAGATTCTTTAGTGACGTAATCAATGAATGAGTAAATTACAATTCTAGTCCCTGTGCTATGTTGGTTGTCATTACTACGGTCCCTCAAACACGTTTATTACTAGGCATGGGAATGTGGGCGGAGCCCCATCCCCAATTACTTATCTCTATGACTCTATCCTCATCCCGTTTGAAGAATATAATCACATCCTTATTCTCAATGGAGAACGGGGATCCTCAACGGGGAAACGGGGTTTTTTTTTTCCGTTTGTGTAAGTTATTTTAAATTAAATATGTGAAAGATCATACATGATTAAATCTCAAACATTTTCAACAAACTAAAGCCAAAATGAATTTAAATTAATACAAAAAAACTACAACATCATATAAGAACTAATAACCTAAAACCAAAAAAAAAATTCAATTTAATAAAAAAAAACTTAAAGTTACATGTACCAAAAGATATTACGTAATATAAAACCATATTGAGTAATATACAAAATTTATCGAGTAATCGTATTTTGATTTGACATCCAAAATATTACATATTAACATCCAAAAGCTAACAATTTTAAATTATAAACGTAGTTATGAAATAGGAAATTATGAATTACCGTTTTAGTTGAAATAAATAATATACATACATACACACACACACACACACACACACACATATATATATATATATATATATATAATTTATTAATTAATATATATAACGGGTACGGGACGAGGAGTACGATACTCATCCCCGTCCCCGGTTTGAAACAAACGGGGATTTCCGTCCCCGTCCCCAATTTAGCAGGGAATCCCCATCCCCAACGGGGACGGGTGGACTGGGTTCCCCGATGGGTCGAGGCCCATTCCCATGCCTATTTATTACACTGTTGGTTTCTGTGGTATGCAAAAACGTACACTTCGAGTCCCTCCCCCTCAAACAAACTTTGTTACCCAGTTAAATCAAGGAACATTTTTGTCTTTTCGTATTTTTTTATATTATATTATTTGTAATATACTTTATATATATATATATATATATATATATATATATATATATATATATATATATATATAT